GTGTGGCATACCGTGTGCTAGGCACTGCGCAAGGCCTTTCACAGCATCTCCCACTTCCCAATGACTACGCAGAAAGGGTATTACTGCCAGTGAGAAAACTGAAGTCAGAGAGGCTCAGTGACCTGCCTGAGGTCTAACAGCTAATAAGTTCAGATTTGCTACCAGATCTCTCTAACCAGGGTCCTTCCCCTGGACCATGTGCTTCTGTGTTGAAATATCTGTTATTTGGAAGTAAGACTTAAAGAAGTCAAATAATACTGTGCAAACATGATAACTTTTGGAATATTAATTTTGAGACATTTGATAACAGATTGGGTATTTTATTTATTGGGTCTGGAAATGCTATGCTCTGAGAAAAAGTGATTGATTCAAGGTTACTAAGAGGTAGAGGCAGAGTTCTAACCCACACTTAATTCTAAACTTTGGTGTTTTTTTTTATTTTAACGTTAAAACTTTAGCGGGTATTTTTTTCTTTTTTCCTTTTCGTCTTTAAGTCTAGGGCAAAAGTCTAATTTTTTTGGACTGGAAGGCTGAAAACTTTAAAAAGTGAAATGATACTCCCTTTAAGGTTTTCTTCTTCCAGGTAGTTCTACTTTTGATAAGTAGCTGATGGTACTGTACAAGCTTCAGCAATTTAATTAATAGTTTAAAAATCTTTTAAAATTTTAACTTAAGGAAATTTTTAAAATGAAAAAAAAAAAGATTAGTCTTACTACCCCAAGTACTCAAATGATTGGGTTCAACCACTGAGTTAGTGATTTTCAACATTTTCAGAGTTGTGACCCACTCTTAAGCCTTCATGTTTGTGAGATCCCTGTTTTAACTTATCCTTCAGTGCTCTGTGGTACATACTTACGACTAACATTTAAAACAACTTGGAGAGTTTATGAAACAAAAATTAAGATGCTACAAAGTTGGGACTGGGAATTGTTGCATGAAGAAAAATTACCCTTCTCAAATAGAAGAATTGTTTTAACATAGTGGGATGAAAACATCATTTGATTGGGTGTACTATATAAATACCTTGTATAGATGACTCTTACTGTTACGTTCTGGTGTACGCACTGGAGAACATGTCTGAAAAATGAGAACATAGTTTGATCAGGTAGCAGTCTTCCCCAAGATGCTCTAAGTATGATTAATCAGCATCTCGGATTATCATTCTTCTGGTCATAAGTTGATCCCTTTAGAATAATGATTTTAAAGGAGAGAAAGCACAAAGGAAAAAATTAATGTGTGTGGTTTGATGCTCACAGTAATGGCAGTGGGAATCTCATTTGTGTTCTTCAGCTAAGTCCATGATGCTTTGCCAGGCTCACTGGAGTGAAAACCTGTACTCATACACCTCAGAATTGTTAGTCTCTTTGGTAATCAGACAGGACTTAATTTTTTATAGACTCAATAAAACACTCAAGTAATGATATAGTTCCATTCATACATAGCCAGCTTCCAAATGGCAGGATGCATCACAGAGTGAGTAACAGTGATTCTGGGAAGACAGACTGGTTGTCTCATCTCGGGGTGAAGATGCTGGAGAGCTGGCTTCTCAGACGTCAGCCTCCCTCTGGCACCCCTGGGTCGGTTTCAGATGGGACTGATTTGCCTCAACTCATCCATATTCCCTGGGCTCGCTCTGCACCAGAGGGTTCAGACCTACCCATATTGATCTCATCCTGGTTCACATCTCTCCATTTGTTCTGGAAAGGATTTCCCCTCTCCCCCTCCTCTCCATCCCCCTCCCTTGGACTCAGAGACACTCAGTCCTGGAGGTCCCAGACATACTCTTCTCCATCTCCCAAGAGGACTAGGCAGCAATTTCCAAATCAGGATTTGCTTCAGGATCCTCTGGGGGGGCACTTGTGAAAACAGATCTCAGATTTTACTTACTCTGATTGGAATCTTTCTAGCTGCAAAAGGTGTAACAGCAGAGCCAGAAATAATTTGTTCATTTGCTTGTTCATTCGTTCATTCAATACATGTTTTTAAATGGAAAAGGTGTGACGTGCCTGGCTGTGTAGTAGGTGCTGCGGGTCCAGATGTAAAGAGAAATGCGTTTGCCACTGGGGGCAGGGGGAATTTCTAATCTAGGGGGAAGTCAGTGGGAAAGATGAAAGAGTAAATAAGGGAGCTGTGGCACTGAAGAAGGAGAGTTAACTCTGCTCCTGAGGCCCAGAGGAGGTGGTCAGGGACGTCACTGGGCAGCGAAAGGCATTCAAAGCAGAGACACCAGCCTGTGCCAAAGTGTGGAGACGTGAGAGCATGTACGGGGAACTGCAAGTCATTCCTCGTGTGTGTCTGGGGAGGGAGAAGACAAGAAGTGAAAGTGGCTCTAAGTGGTGAAGGAAGAACATGAGAAAATTTCCCAGAATTAAAAGACATGAGTCACAGACCGAGAGTAAACTGAGTGTCCCACCAATGAATGAAAAAGACTCACCCCTCAGCATATCCTGTTAATGTCAGCATTCCAGGGATGCATACAAGATCCTAAAAGCTTTCACAATGGAAAAAGTAATGTAAAAAGAATTTCTAACCAGAGTAGCATCAGACTGCCCTATAGGCTAGATGAGTATGAAGTACTACTTTTGGAAATTATTTCCTACCTAGAATTGCATACTTAGCTGGGCTACCAATCAAGACATTTTAACACAGAGATTCCCCAGAAAAATTGCATCCTGGGCCCTCTCTTCAGGTAGCTAATGGGAGACGTGCACTGTCAAAGCATGAGAATAAACCAAGGAAGGCGAGAAGCCAGGAGAAGCCAGTACAGGAGCCCCTCCCCAGAGGAAAAGGTGAAGGAAGTTCTGAGGATGGTGGGGAAAGCAGTCCCAGGCAGGTCAGGCCGAGAGAGACCATTCCAGCCAGATTGACTCAAGATAAGTGGTATAGGAGCAATGTCTCCAAGAGAAAATAGAACAAACAAACTAAAAAGCCTGACATTTTTACTTTATTGAGAGGAGTCTTGCAGTTCTTGGGAAAGTTTGCTGAGATGAATTAAGTTTTAGATGTATACAAAGCTAAGCAATAAGACAAAAATGGGACAACTAATAACTTTAGGAGAAATAAAAAGTTGTCCAAGAAAGGAAAAGTCATTGAGTCCTGCACAGCACTCTTGGGAGTAATGTTTACTTTGTCAGACTGCTGTAAACGGCGACTGTTGACTTAACCAAATGTTGCGGCATTGTTGGATGCTGGGAGGATTGAGCAAGTGTGGCATACTTGTATGTAAGTAGGTGAAGAATTGGATATGAAAACTAAACCCTTAGCTTCCACAGAGAGAAGTTAATAGGTAATAACTAAAATGGAACAATCAGGAAATAGCAATGTGAACACATTTTCTAAACAGATACAGATATAGAAATATCATGAAATATGAACATCAGAATAAAATCCTAAGGGAGTTGAAATTAGTGTCCTCTAAAGAGAGAACTGGGTGTGGGGAGGGGAGGGACAGGGGAACTCTATTTTTCATTATAATCTCTGTGGTCCTGTTTTATTTTTTGTACTTTGATAAAAGTAAAAATGAATCATAAAAATATAGACCTAGCATTATTAACACTGAGGGACTCTTGCAAGTAGTGTTCTGCGTTTTGTTGAACAAGCCTTTTGCATTTAAGAACAAACTTGTGTACTCCGTGTCCCTCCCTACCTTTGGCACATTCTTAAATTTTATCTTTTGTCCCCCTTTTCCTTACTGAACTGAATAGGAATTGAAGCAAAAATTAGTGAGGTGAATTGTTGAATCAAACACGGACAGACTGTATCTGCATACTGTGTTTGTTTATGTAGACTCTAAGCTATCTTTTAGAGCTCTGAGGATAAACAGTCCTCTGTCTTGCGTTCTTCCCAAAGTAGAGCAGAGCTGAACTTCACGTAAGAAATCAGCATTCTTCAATGACCTGATGTTCCTAAAATGGGACGGCTAGTCAGCTGCACGTTAAGATCTCTGAGCTGACTGTGGGCATCACTCAGCAAAGCCACAGGTTGTTTCTGAAGAAATTTTGTCCATTTATGTAGACACAAACGGCCCCCTCCACCGTCTTATTTTGAAAATAACCAAACTCCACAGAAAAATGGAAAGCGCAGTGAAATGCCTGTGTAACTTTGCCCTGGGTTTGCCGGTCCTGAACACTGGTCGCGTTTGCTTCCTCGCTTTCTATACCCATTCCCTTCTTTTGGAGGGAGAGTGGGGGTTGAACCATTGTAAATTAAATTGGAGATATCATACTTTCATACATCTCCCAGTATACCTTCTAAGAACAAGAACATCCTTCTACAAAACCAAAATACTGTTATTTGCCATGGATAAAATAATACTATCTAGTACATCAAATTTCCCTAAAATCCTAATAAGACCTTCTGTAGCTTTTTTGGGGATCCAGAATCTAGTCAGTGACCATGCATTGCATTTAGTCATCATATTTCTTTAAGTGTTCTATGTACTAGAAGTTTCTCTGCTTTTTTTCTTTTCTTTTTTTTTTTAAACTTTCATGATACTGACAATTATGAGGGGCCCAGGGGGAAGGTGTTTTGTAGAATGTCTTGTACATACGGACTCGTCTTTTTACTCCCTCGTTATAAGATTCTGGTTTACGATTTGGGAAGAATAGGTACACAAACATTTTTATCCGTCTGATTTTCATGCAGGTTCAGAGTTTCAGTCCTTTGTTTCAGTCCTGTTTTGGATGGTTTTGTTTTGTCTTTCCTGCTAATCTGTGGTTTGCCATGGGGTGTGAAGAACGACCACTTACCTGGAGAACAGTGAAACTCCTTAGACTGCAGAAAACAGCACTGTAATAATCTCTGGGCGAGAGAATCTGTTCCTCTGGAGACAAGCATAATATTTTTTTTAAACATTCCTGGCAGAGTTCTCTGGATGACTTAATATATTGTAATCAAGGGCAGATTTTCTGCCCTTTAATTAAATTCTGCTTCAGGATACAGTCCAGGGAGTCACTTCTGGAAAACACTTGGCCAGCTCCCCTCTCATCCCTAAGCTGACCACTTTGCTTTTGGAATTGCACCACCGAACGCGCGTTCACTTTGCAGCACCTCGGCCCTCCTGTGCCAGCATGCCCAGATGCTGAGGTTATGTATATTTTCTGTGAAGTGAGCACAGCGTGCAGAGATGGCATGCCTCGGATGCCAGGATCGCTGTGCAGGCCTGCTGCTGAGAGCGTGCTTCCCGTTTGTCCGGGCTTCAGGGTAGACCTGGTGACATAGTAGCCTTTCGGCAGAGCTGGGGATGTGCAGGAAGTGCTGCTGCAGGTTTGGTCCGGGCTGGGGGGAATCTGAACCATTTCTGGGGGGACAGCTGTGTTTCAGAGTCTGGACAAGGGGCTGTTGAATTCTGTACTGGCTGCCAGGGTAAGCGTTCTCATGTTGATTTGTTTATACTCTTGTTTTTCTTCCTCTTAAGTCATTAAGGCTCTTTTTGGAAGCATCACAGGACTTGGTATCCATCAGCAAAAGTGGAATTCAGAGGTTTCATTCTAATATGTTTACAATCTGACTTTTCTTTTCCTTTCTCTCTGCAGATTTTGTGGAAGTATAATACTTTGTCATTATGAGATGTCGTCTCTCGGTACCTCCTTTGTGCAAATTAAATTTGATGACTTGCAGTTTTTTGAAAACTGCGGTGGAGGAAGCTTTGGGAGTGTTTATCGAGCCAAATGGATATCACAGGACAAGGAGGTGGCTGTAAAGAAGCTACTCAAAATAGAGAAAGAGGTAAGGTCTTTTCCTGCTATCAGAAGTGCTCACGGTAGCGACTTATGTAAGCTTTTCAACCTAGAGCGCAGGCTGCCAGGGACCTAGCAAAGCCTTTGGGTCGGACCTGTGAGGCCGTTTCCCAATTTCCATTCTAGGAGCCCCATAAATAGCAGTCAATGCCATGTGTGCGTTAGGGTTGAGTTTTACTAGGGGTCATCTGAACTGAGAGAATTTCTTTCCATGGTGTGAAAGACAGATATTCTCTGAGCTGTCCTCCAGGGCAGGTGAGCCTTCAGGCCTTCCCTGGCTGCAGGCTTTTCTTCTTCCTGGGTCAGCCAAGAGGGGTCAGTAGAGAGTAGGGTGTAAAGTTTTCATCCCCTTTCCATTTTTTTGTCTGTAAATTTGTGGTCATCAGGAGTTGTCTTTTGAAAATTAAAAAAAGTTATTCTTCTGCTGAAATGCAAGCAATTCCAGCTTCTTGAATTTTACCTCCACTTAAAACCCAAGGTGATGGTCTTTGTAGCATAAAGGTGCTAGACAGAGAGCCGCCCAACTTGTAACATCAGAAAAAGGTCTTGGCTTTTGGCATCTAGGGTTTGTGCTGGTCCGAGCTGAGCTCAGAACTCATACATAAACCCTTCAGCTTTCTCAGGAAAGTGACACAACATCGTCCCCACATTCAGTTTGGTGCCTAAACTCTACAGTAAAGCCAGTTGTGGAGCTGACCCGTAGATGCTTGGGACACTGATCATTTTTAATAGCTACCCTCTGCAGTTTTTTTTGGTCATTTCTATTTATGTCCTGTTTTGGCTCGTTGTTGGTCTTTTCAATATCTTTTTAAAGTGAACTTTTCCATAAATATCTTTGACTCTCCCTGAATGATTTCTTTTTTTTTCCATTAACTGCTGCCAGTGAACCATAGCAATTGATTAGAGACAGAAACCCAAATGGAAAGCACTTCGTGGTATTTCCTCCCAGCACTGCCGTGTGGCTGTGTGATCACCAGCTGTGTTTCCGATTGTTGAAGCCAAGTCAGAAGGACTAAGCTGTCTCTGCCTTATGGTATCTGTAGCTTGTGGAAAGTATTAAGAAGTGGTAGCTTTTGAAGCCGACATGTGCCCCAAACAGAAGAGTACTATATAGAAAAAGTTTCCTCTCCCTCATTGCTTTATCAATAAATATTTTAATAGTAGCCAAATAATAAAACCATTTCTTACTCTAGGCTAAACCTAGCTTCTTTGTTCTATGAACTCTTAAGCCCTTTATAGGCAAGCATTTTTGTACCTATTTCACAGATGGGGAAATAGAGCTTTGAGAAATGTATTAAGCTGCCCCCATAGGGGCAGGTGAAATCCAGATGAGACCCTCTGTTCTTTAGTTTTTAGCTCTGAAACCTCTAGTTGACCAGGTAGGAACAGAAAATAAGCCAATTCCATCAAATTTATATTCAAAGAAGTACATAAGTATGCTAGTATTTTTAAGCATCATGCAACTTCAATACAATGAGCATGTTCTTATTTGGTTGTTGGATGTAAGAGAGATTTTATGAGATATAAAACAAATTTTGGTATGAAAATAATAATTGCAACTCATTCACTCCACCCCCCATTCCGTGCCCAATACCTTTTTTACTGTCTTTTGAGAGAGCCAGGGAAATGACATCAGAAAGCCCAAGGGTGAAAGCAAGAATTGGAAACTGCCTAGTTCTGCTCTGGTGTAGGTATGGAACCTGAGTGAGTAGCATTCAGAAATGTTAATTAAACTGCAGGAGCACACTCATAAACTTGTATGTGGGAAAGCCAGAAACTCAGTTTCAGCTTTGGGCTCGGTTTAGTTGGTGACTGTCAGAGATAAAGAGACATGGTAGGTTATTGCAAAGCATCCCCACACCTACTGACTCAACTTAAGTTTAAGACGTAAAACATTTTGCCTAGGGGTTGGCAATTATTGGAAACAAAATATACATTTCTTATGTAAGTGTTACATTTTGTGAACGATGTATTGGCTTCATGGCTAGATGTTTTCTCAATGATAAGATAAAGGTAATAAGCTATGGGTTTTTTTTTTCTTCCATTTTATAGATTCTGTCCTGTGTTACTTGGTCATTTTTGCCAATGAGTTTTAGAAGCAATGGAACATTTAATAATATGTTTGTAGCTCACTCATGGAACTCTTTAAGAATTACCTGATATCTGGTAAAATATGTGGAACATGGAGAAAATATATGCAAAACTCTTTAATTTTGTTTACATGAAAGGACAGAGAATGTTTTTATTTTCACTTTATTTGTAGACCTCTAGTGAGTATGTATACTTCCCTCTGCTTTAGTGAGTATATATTACTTTTCTGATTTAGAAAAAAGGAAAGAAAAATAGCATTTACTTATAATCTTTGTAGTGCTTTAAAACTTAATTTTTAAATATTCATCCGTTTGATTTATTTTTTAGATTTTACATATAAGTGATAGCAATAGTATTTGTTTTTCACTGTCTGACTTATTTCACTAAGCATGATATCCAGAACATATATATCACATCTTCTTTATCCGTTCAGCTGTTGATGGACCCTTAGGTTGTTTCCATATCCTATAAAACTCCATTTTTTAAAAACTTTTACACCTAGTGAAAAACTGCGAGGCTAGCGCCATGAACTCTAGCATCTTCTTCCCCAGACGCACCACCAATTAACATTTGTAACATTTGCTTTCTCTCTATATATTATTGATTTATAGATATTCATGCATATTTTATTTTTACTGAAACATGAGAGTAAATTGCAGATGCTATGTACCTTTATCCCTAAATACTTTAGCATCTCCCAAGAACACAATCATAATTCAACTGTCAAAAATTTAAGATGGATACAATAATATTACCTACTATACAAGTCTGGTTTTGAATTTTACCAGTTGTTCCAATAATGGCTTTTTATGGCAACTTTTTTCCCAACCTAGGATCACGTACTACATCTAGTTGATCTATGCTTAGTCTGCTTTAATCTGTAACAATTTCCCCTCCTTTCTTTGTCTTTTAAACTTGGACGTTTTTGAAGTGTGCACGAAAGTTTTGTAGAATGTCCGTCATTTGGGGTTTCTCTGATTTTCCCTCCCACCAGCCTAGTTTGAGGTTATGTCATTTTGGTAGGAGTGCTGCCTGGGCCTGTGTCCTTGGTGTATCTTACTGCAAGACCTGCAGTGTTGGTTTGTCACATTATTGATGATACTAATTTTGAACTCTTGATTGAGGGGCTCACTGAATTTCTCCACAGTAAAAATACCTGTTTTCTCTTTGTAATTAATAATGAAATTATTGGTAGATCCTTTGAGGTTATGTAAGTATCTTTCCTCAACCTCCAGTACATTGTCTTTAGCATCCATCTGTGATTCTTGTTGGAATCAAATTTTATTATGACAGTTACTGTGTAGAAAAGCAAAAAGTTCTAGCATAAATGAGAGCCCTTCTTCCTTCGTTCCTTCCTTTCTTCACTTATTGTTTCATTGTAGACTTATGGATTCTTTTTTCAAATTCAAAATGTTACAGTTCATTACAATTGGTATGCACTTTCATGCTTAAATTGCCCCTGATTTGGGCAAGTAAGAGTCCCTTCAGATTGGCTCCTGTGTCCTCTTGTGCGTCTCCGTCAGTTTTTTAGCCTGTACTTACTTCCTGGCACAGAGAGATGTTCCAGGCTGATCTAGTTCCTGCCGCAGCCCTGGAGCCAGCCATTTCTTCAGGAAGCCCTGATTCAGAGTGCCTGACGTGGGAGTGCGATATTGAGAAACTAAGATTTGGAAGCTAGGTTTGCTTATTGTAGACTTTTTTTAAAAAAGAGCCTTTGTTCTTTTGGGAGAAAGAATGGTTATAGACATTTTATTTATGGAAGCATTTAATTTAAAATTGGATATCATAATCTGAATAGCTATAATCTGTGATACACTCCTGTTAGAAATGTAAACTGGCATACTTTTTGGAGAAGAGTTTAGCAAAATGTATCATAAAATCTTAAAACATTTACTTCCTTTGAGCCAGAAATTTTTCTTCTAGTACTTTATCCTAAGGAAATAATCAGGGATAAAAGAAGGCTGTAATAGGTTGCTCATTTCAGATTATATAATGGTGAAGAACTGGAAACAACTCAAGTGTCCTGCAACGAATTATCCTATATCTCACCCCTCCTCAAAAAGGTAAACGTGAGAGGTGGTGGGTGTGTTAATTAGCTTAATTGTGGGGCTCCTTTCACAACATATATACGTATATTGAAATCATCATGTTATACCTTTAAATATATTACAATTTTGCTTGTCAACTACAGAGATGAAAAAAAATTATGCTTCATATGTGTCATGGATTCCATTACATTTGGAAGAATACTTAAAGAGAATGCTTAGGAGAATGCTTATGATATATTGCCGAGTGGTAAAAGCAAGTTACAGAACAATGTTTGTAATATGATCCCAGGTGTCTGCTTGGTATCTGTGTAGTGTTTTTTATTTTTCTTAACACTTTCCTTTGTTTTTAGTGTTTTTCTATGATGATCTCATATGTCTTCCCCCTCCAGCATTTCATTATGAAAATTTTCAAACCTAAAGAAAAGTTGAAAGAGTTTTATATTGAATGTTTGTAAGTCTACCATCTAGGATCTGTCATTAACATAAATACTTGCTTTATTACATGTATATCTATGTATCTTTCCATTCATCCATCAGTTTTGAAGCATTTCACGATAAGTTGCAAGTATCAGTATGTTTCCCCTTAAATATTTCAGCATGTGTATTATTAGAGTCCATTATGTGTTTGCAGTTTTGTTTCTTTTGAGGTAAAATTTACATATAATGAAGTACACCAATCACTAAGTTTTGACTGGTGTGAACAGTTTGACCCATATATTTACTCTTATGATCAGAAAAAAACTCAATTAAGCCAATCATAGCTCTGACAACCTATGCCACTTTCTAAGGATGTTCAAGCAAACTGAGTTTTACAGACCTTTTTAGCATGTCACAAATCACAAATTTTCCC